GAAGACAAAATTGTGACCATGTCATTTTCTATGTCACTTTCCCACCGCTTCTTTATGTGGGATCTATGTCACTTTCCCACCGCACCTTTTTGCTGGTCTGTTGTAAAGAAATCTTGGCAGTTCCTCATTGTAAGCACGGTAGCCATCATGGCATTTCACATTTAACTCAACATACCTAAGGTCACAGACAAAAGCATTTGTTAAATATACTGCATTTGTATGCACTTCTTTAAAATACATTTTAGGGATGGTGAACACACAATGATAAGAAAATAAACTCGTGACTTGGTTTACAGTACAGCATGTAAAGAACACCTCACAATGGAATCACATCTGTGATTTACTAAGTAAGTCCTTTAGATTGATTACTTTTTACAGTATAGGTGAGGTACTGAAAATTTCTTACTTTCTGAAAGTTTTTGGCAGAAACTGATTGACAAGAACTTTTACCATGTCACTTAGAGAGCATCCTTTATTCCCCAACAGGTACTCGTATTTAAACGACCTATTTTGTCTTTCAATACCGTTGTTGGTGTTGACTGCACAAATGAAATCTTCCGCCCGATACGCTTGGCACCATCTCTGTAAGAATAAGAATATGATTTACCTTAAGTGGTACAGTACAGTTTTGGCTAAAAAAGGAAACAAACTTTTAGTGGGACGTGATTTCAGGCTGGGCAATACCGTTTTCAGGATTTCATAATCATACGCCGACTAGAAATATTTATTTTGAATTTTTCAAGATGTCGGGTTTTACTCGCACTTGCGTACATTGCGCAATAATTGGCCAATAAGAAGCTCCTTTGGCCGGGATGACGTCAAACTCACGCGTGTAGGTGCAATTTGACCTTGCGAACCATTTCTGGCCTTTGCAGGGTCATACGATACAAACGTCGCATTGTTTTGACGGTTTTACAGTGCGTCTACTGTAAGTGGGGCCACTTAGAGAACACTAACCAATCGCATTGCAGAACAGAAAGAAAAATCTAATCAAACTAAAGCTCGTCCAATCAAAAGAAAGATTCAGGAAGCCATTAACTGCAATGTTTACTTTTACATGTCTATTTTTACCGTTTGACATTCGTTTATTTGTTCGAATTGTTTTTGCCCTAATGCTGATTGGCTAATGCGCCGTTTGTTGATTTTTTCACTTTCTGTTCTGCAATGTGATTGGTTAGTGTTCTCTAAGTGGCCCCACTTACAGTAGACGCACTGTAAGACGTATTTCCGGTTGGGATTATTCACTTCGAGCTCACAGTCGGACAAGAAATGGAAATATATTGATAAAAGATACAGATTTGTAGATTCAGGGTTGCAAATAACACTCCAAAAACACTATTTAATGGGGATTCGAACAAGACTATTACAAAGACGATATGTTCGAAGGGGCCGAAGTTATTTTCGGCGAAAGGTATGAATAGTCTATATTTTTGTTCAGACAATTGCGTAATTTGATGCAATATTATCGTGTTTGACTTCAAAGGCCCATAAATCGCTACAATGTTGATAATGACTATAACTATAGGGAGGAATTAGTTGAATCTTTTATTTCTGAATCGAATGGTGGTATTTCTGTCTTCATAGCACGCACTGAACCGAAGATATAAAAATTTCTCGCCGTCAACCGCTAGCGGATGACGAGACTGGCTTGGGATGCAAAAGAGTTAAAGCCTTTAAATAAACGAGTTCGATGCACAGTTTCTGGTCTTTTACCATAATTATCCAATGCTGGTTTTATTCGCTGCATTATAAACCTCCTCCACACAATACCCCTTCTTTAAAATACCAAACATTTCGAATGCAATTGAGATATGAAATCTCAACAAGAAGACAATTCAAGATGGCAAAACAGTCAAAAGTGCGAATCAAAACCCATATTTACACGGCGAGTACGCGCAATTTCTGATCGGTTTCGACACCACCAGAAGAGTTAGATCATAACTATATTAGTGATCATTATTTAATATATGTTATACGCAATGTTCATAAAACAAAAGAGACGCCTCGAATTGTTGAATACCGTGATTTTAAGCACTTCATGAAACAGAACAAATTTTATTCTTGAATTAGAATCCCTCTCAAACCTTAATTTAGACTATCTGGATTCTGGACCCCAACACTAAAAGTCATGGAAAATCGGGAAGAACGCATTTCTTGATATTATTAAAATGCATGCACCCCTAAAAAAACGTAGGGTGTCTGGCAAACCACAGGCGGCCCAATCTCGCAAGGGTCAGTATAGACTTATAGTATAAATGTATATTATATTATATTAATGTATATTATAGTAAAAATATGTCGTAAAATATAAATTTTAAAATGAAATTGACTTGCCTATTTGATAGTGTGTGTTCTCCTTTTATTCCTCCTTTGTTGGACTAATATTTTCCGAGACTTTGTACTCGATGTTACTAGTATACATGAAACATGATAAAGGCTAACTATTCCCGATCGTCGATACGACGGCACGGCACTTCGAATCGAAAATTTTCACAACATTACAAACCTTTTAATGATGCCCAGGCCGAAAATTACTACGGCGAACGTCTGCGCAACCAGGCCTCCTTTACCGTTGGATTCACAGGGGGGAGGATGCCACTAATATATTCACGATAATATTTCGAATTAAAGTATCATATTCTACCATGCTTTCCAACAAAGAGCCGCTGTATATTACTTCTTCCTTAAATTTCTTCAATCTCCGTCGTTTAGTTTTCTTTTCTTCGACAACATCTCGAGTTTTATACAGTATCCGATCGAAGGAGTTTTTATTTTGAATATCAAATTTCAAATAATGTAAATAGTCGGTATCGCGGCCGCGATTGGCTGGCTGTTACCGGAAATATCTGCTTCCCCCCCTGTAAATCCAACGGTAAAGGAGGCCTGGTTGCGCAGACGTTCGCCGTAGTAATTTTCGGTCCGGGTAAGTTCAATATAAAATGGGTTTTGATTTCCATTGTTAAAATATGGTCCAAAACTTGTACATCTCGCCGAAATACCTCTGTATTTTCGAAGAACGGCATTTGTTGTACATGCTGGCGAATATTTTTTGAGAATAAAGCGATTTGAGTGTGAGAATTTTCGATTCGAAGTGCCGTGCCGTCGTATCGACGATCGGGAATCGTTAGCCTTTATCATGTTTCATGTATACTAGTAACATCGAGTACAAAGTCTCGGAAAATATTAGTCCAACAAAGGAGGAATAAAGGGAGAACAGACACTATCAAATAGGCAAGTCAATTTCATTTTAAAATTTATATTTTACAACATATTTTTACTATAATATACATTAATATAATATACATTTATACTATAAGTCTATACTGACCCTTGCGAAATTGGGCCGCTTGTGATTATATAAACAAAATTCAGTGAAAAACAATAAAACGTTCGTGACAATGCGTTTTACAACAAATGATATTTTCACACGTAAAAATATCGTATTTTTTACGTGTGTTTAAATACGATTTTTCTCAGTGGCCAAAAACTCTATATAACACTTATGTTTATATAATAAACAGAGTATAATTTATGAGTGCAAAATGATTAGTGGTTGTCTAGATAAAAATATTGCGTGACCCTTGTTGTGACGTAACATGCATATCGACAAAAATCCAAGATGACGGACATTTCATTTCTTTTCGATTAAAATATTTGTAGAAGTAAGCAAGATATGAAAAAACGGTAAAAAAGTTTTATATATGGTTTTAAATGTTCTTTCGAACGAGAAAATTAAAAAATATATTGCCATTTCCCTTTAAGTGGCTGTCTCACTAAGAACCATGCTGAGCGTTTCAGGTTGAAAATTAGATTTCCTTTATATTTTTACCATGAACTACCTTCGTCCTAAAAGGTATTAAACTAATACTAGAATTTCTAAATTTTTCTTTTTTTTTGAGTTATGACGAATTTTTGTCTGGACGTCAGCGACACTGAAATTTGACCCCAGAAACGGCGGTCAAATGTGTGTTAAATTGTGCATCATAACTCGGAAAGTTTCGCGTCAAATTAAAAAATTTTTTCAGCTTATTGAGACATATTCTTCTTCTTTTAGAATGTTGAAAGAATTTGAATGTAGATCTTATTTTAAGCCTACTAGTCTCCATCCAAGGATGTCCGCATTTTCGTTCGCCGAACAACTAATGATTAGGTATAAAATTCAAACTAAAAATTCTCAAAAGTGCAACCTACCTGGTGTCTAAAACACTTTTAGGGTTAAAGTAGAATACTTAAAGTTATGTTATTCGCATTAAAACTTGTCGGCAAAAGGAATATGAAGGAGTGCAAAATTCATAAATTATGGCTATAAATAGCTCTATTGTTTACCTTTGTGATAACCGGAAACACGTTCAGCGTTACTCGCGGAGCTTTTATAAATTTATATTAGCAATTATTATAAATATAAAATAGTGTTTATAAGTTCTTATATATGAATACAAACAGCGCCTTGTAATTTTTTTAAGCTTTTGGAAAGCCTTTACAATTGATCGTTTTAAAGTTGATTAAAATTACTAAATAGTTGCGCGCCAACATAATGTACAATATATTATCGTTGTTTAATATGTACTGATGAGTGTGCCATAAATAGAATACACGCTATATTACGAAAGCAACAATATACTAAACTTTATAGTTAACTTGCTACCTGGATAGTTATTTTTCGCGTGTTAATTCTTCAACAAACAATTTAATCTCGCAAATTTAATCTTTAATCAAACGTTCGGGAGTAGTCGAAAACATTTCGAGGTTGGTAAATTGTGTTTCTGTGGTCTGTATGCCAAGGGGATTACGTTTGTAGCCAATTTTTAAGTTTCTCTAATTTATAAAATAATAATAAAAAACCACGAAAATAATAGCAGAAAATAATAACAGACGGAATGTATACAAGCTGTTTTTGTTCTTCAATGCGCCATTGTTAAAACTAATTATTGGAGTATTTTTTAAACTTACTTCTTAAATAATATCAATGACAGTGTTCCTTTGTAATTTCCACACCTGTTTTGTTTGACAGAAAATTAACGCAAAGAAGTACCGTTTTTGTTGCATGCCATATATGGCATGCAACTTTCATATAGCTCTAAATTTCGTGTCGTGAGCGGCGGTGAGCGGTGGTGAGCGTACCAAATCACGTGGTAGATTCGTAAAATGCGACAAATACCGAGTTTTCCCGACGAACATTTACGAACATTATAAACATAATTATCTCTGCATAATTATAAATTTTGAATCATGTGAACAACTGATCATGTGATGTGATGTGAATTGTGAACCACACCGTCATGCACATTTTCGTCGATTCTTGGCCGAATATTTTATATAATCGAGCGCTTTTAGAAGACCTTAGAAGGTAGGTAAAGCTTTGCTGTTTTTAATTTACCTTATATTCTGTTATCTGTTGTGATTTTGGAGCCTTTGTGCTCGCACTGATTATTTATCAGGCGTTAATATATAGCGTGAAAGGCCACGCTATCAAAACACTCAATTTTATACTCAAACTGAAACGGAGCCATTGTGCTCGCACTGATTATTTATCAGGGCGCTATTAGCGTGAAAGGCCACGCTCTCAAAATACTCAAATTGAAACGGAGCCATTGTGCTCGCACTGATTATTTATCAGGCGCTATTTGCGTGAAAAGCCACGCACTCAAATTGAACCGAGCCATTGTGCACGCAAAAAAACAGCCCATTGCCATTGTGCTGGGATTATTGAGACTTTGCCATTGTGCAATTTTAAAAGAATTACAAATACAAACTGTCAAAGACAATACTGAAAATACACAGTACACTACTTATTGACAATTACTGTAACGAAACCATTTTATTCCAAACAGTGAGAATATAGAAATATGGGTGTGTCAATTGAGACATACAGACTAAGAATTGGTTCGCATAACAACTTTGTGCAAGCACGACAGTCCATGAATCAAATGAAAGGTAAATTTGGGAACCATATGTTAGTAATGTTCTACTTAGAAATATTTTATTTACCATGCTTGAAAAATCTAGTTACCAGGATTGAAAGTAATAATGAAGTTTGCATATGGTATACACAAATGGTATCTTATCATGTTTATGTACCATTGCTATTGAGGCTTGCAAATGATGTGGAGGAAAATCCAGGCCCAGTTAATATCTATGATATTGTTGATCATAGTTTTACGGTTCGAGCAGATTTCAACCAAGGTAATATATCCATGTTTGGCATAAATGCTGGAAAACAATGTGTTGCCATGTCAATTTATGCTATTGTATACAATGAAATAAAATCTGTTAATATTTGGGATACACCACTTATGAACATGCTTCTAGTTAAAGCAAACAATCTTTATGCCATAATTAGTCAGCACATTCAGAAAGATTTCTTGTTGCTCACTGATGTTCCTGAAATATTGTCTATCAACAATGATACTTTTAATTTGGAGTACAGTGACTCTTTTTCTGGAGCATTATGGATGGAATATAACAATGAACCGTATGTTACACTTGAACATGCCTTTCATGAAGTATTTAATGCTGGTAATTATAAAGCATGTTTACTTACTATTGGAGCAAACACTGTTGCAGTTTTAATGCCTTTCCCAGATGTATTTAAAGTTTTTGATTCTCATTCACGAGATATGCATGGAATGCCAGCAGCAATGGGTTATAGTGTTTTAGTTTCTATTGAAGGAATTCAAAACCTTATAAATTTTTTTCATAACAGTTGTAACTATCCTGGACAAAATAGTGAAAATAGTCTATTTGAATTGAAGGGTGTTAAATGTCATAGAAACATTTCATTGTCAAACAGTTTGGATAACACAACGAATGACGACACAACATCAAATAACCATGAACAACTAACAAAACAACAAGAGTCAGGTATAGAAAGAGAAAACAGACTTGCAAAGCTAAGAGAGAAGCAAAGAGAGAAAAGACAACAAGCAAAACAAAAAGAGTCTATTGCAGAGAGAGAGAATAGACTTGCAAAGCAAAGAGAGAAAAGAAAACAAGAAACTGTTTCAGAGAGGGAAAATAGACTTGCAAAGGAAGGAGAGAAAAGAAAACAAGAAACTGTTTCAGAGAGGGAAAATAGACTTGCAAAGCAAGGAGAGAAAAGAAAACAGGCAAAACAACAAGAAACTGTTACAGAGAGAGAGAATAGACTTGCAAAGCAAAGGGAGAAAAGAAAACAAGAAACTGTTTCAGAGAGGGAAAATAGACTTGCAAAGCAAGGAGAGAAAATAAAACAGGCAAAACAACAAGAAACTGTTACAGAGAGAGAGAATAGACTTGCAAAGCAAAGAGAGAAAAGAAAACAAGAAACTGTTTCAGAGAGGGAA